GTCCGTTTCACGTCGATGTTTCTCTCTCTCTCTCTCTGTTCCTTTCTCTCCCTCCCACTCTACCTGGACAAAAAAATGCAAAAATGTCCTCAGGCGAGGATAAAAAAAATTAAATAAATAAATAAAATAAAGTATTCATTGTTGATCTGAAACTCTAATTTAACTACTGTCCTGTGTTTTATCTGGCAACCTGGTCAAAACAACTGAGTCACTGGGCATGCAGAGAAAGGGTGTCATGAGAAAGGAAGAAGGTGCCTGTGGGGGACACCCTCCTCTGGCTGGGAAGGAAATGGTGCAGTTTGATCAAGGACACAGCTGCAAATTTCATCAACTCACATCTTGACTCTGTGTGGTTTGTACTCTGTCACTCACGCACCTGGAGTGAAGGACTAACGGGCACTTCTTCGGGGCTCTAGGCACATGTTTGCTTGGCAGAAAGGAGGAAGCAGATCACCTATCCCCTCCCCTGGTGGGCACCAGGAGAGCTGTCAGGTAGATGCTTGGACAGAGACATAGAGTCCCTAGCCCGTCCTTCCCTGCTCTCAACGGAGCCTTTCAGAAACTGCCTGTGAGCCAGGGACAAGCAGCTTTTAATGACCAGAATGACAAAAAATAGATAACTGGCATAATATGCCAATGTAAATATTTATTGATACCAAAAAATGATGCCCACTCGTTTGAACTTGGGGCACATTCATGGGATTGCTTACCATTCACTGCTTTCCACTAATTGGTGGCCTGGCCCCCACAAGGATGAAGGAAGGACCTGTCTGGCAGAAGCTTCAGGTGATGTCTCTTTCAGAAAAGTTTCACCTCATGTTGTCTTCATTGTGGCCTCGTGTTTTTTCCTTCTGAGTTTGTGTGTCACAGGCGACTTCAGACACAGGCTACCTGGTTTAGGTTCACAACCACCTTTGTTTTTGTCAAATGTGTGGCATTTTCACCACATACACACACCTTTGAATTGCAAACAACTGGAGAATTTTCTCCAGGCACTTCTGATTCTCGTTGCTTTCATAACTACTTCCTCTAACTTTGGTCATCTTCAGTAATTCTCTCTCTCTCTCTCTCTCACACACACACACACACAATAATACACTTTAATTCCCAAATGCTTCTAATTGGTTTGTACCATATTTTATAAATTTTTTGGCTCTCACTAACAGTAATCAGCATTGTATGTACCTGTATATCCTTGAAGGTATGTAATTAAGATTAAATTATCCACTTTGTTGGGCCTCACTAATTTGAATAAGTGCAAAGCAAGAAAAGAAAAACTTTTTAAGAATTAGATTTATATAACAGTGGTGGTATAGTCATTTATGCAAACTGCTCTCTATTCATGCCTAATTATAGTGCAGCTTAATAACAATGACATCATTAAATTTACATTTTGGCCTCAGCCCATGTGGCTCAGTTACTTGGGTGTTGTCCTGTGCACCAAAAGGTCACTGGTTCAATTTCCGGTCAAGGGCACAGGCCCCAGTTGCAGGCTCGATCCCCAGTAGGGGGCATGCAGGAAGCAGCTGATCAGTGTTTTTCTCTCTCTCTCTCTCCCTCTCCCTTCCTCTCTCTCTAAAAATCAATACACTGTTCTTTTTTTATTTATTTATATTTTGGTTGACTTCAACATTGGATGCCGTTTTCTTAACATTCAGAACCCAGTGCCCATATTTCATGCTTGTCTACTCCCATGGCCCACATTTCAGTCATTCAGCAAACATTTGCATGCTCTCCATGTGCAGGGGTCTGTGCTAGGTTCTTGGCTACAGAGATGAATACTATGTGGCACTTGTCCTGAAGAATGTATGACTCAACAAACTTGTAAATAAATAAACCATAATATAGCATGTAAGCGTTATAACAGAAACACAAAGAGACTAAGAAATCAGCTCCTCTTCAGGGAATTTGAGGAAAGACACCAAGAGGAGGTGCTGAATGAATTGAGCTTTTCAGCATGAATAGGAGTTTTCCAGATGAAGGGACCAGAGGGAGGGAAAACATTCCAGGGCAGGAATCATGATGTGCAAATACTCTGGATCAAAGCAGGTGTGATGGGAAGTAGTGGGAAGTTCCCTGTGGGAGGGAGGAACATAGGATACCAGAGATGGGGCCATAGGACACAGAGCTGAGAAAGTTGGCCAAGGCTGTATCACAAACACCCTTATATTTAACATTGGGGGTTTAACCCTGTAGGTAAGAATAGGACTAGTTTTGATTTTGGAGAGGAAAGCTCTGGATATAGTGTGAAGGATATCTTGGATTTAAAAAAATGATTTCATCTTAAAATAAAAGAGGCCCTGGTTAGTTTGGCTTAGCAGTTAGAGCGTCGGCCCGCGGACCGGAGAGTCGTGGGTTTATTCTTGATCAGGGGCACGCATCTCAGTTGCGGGTTCGATCTCCAGCCCCAGTTGTGGTCAAGCGGGAGGCAGCCAATCCATGTGTCTCTTTCACATCGATGTTTCTCTCTCTCCATCCCTCCCTCTCACTCTATCTCAAACAAATCAATGAAAAAATATCCTCCAGTGAGGATTAAAAATAGACAATAAAATAATATTTCATGAACCTCTTTCCATGTTAATAAATATACATCTCAAAAACACTTTTATAGATGTATAAAATAACACTTAACACTATTATTAACCAAATGGCTACACTGAGATATCTTATTTGTGTTTTAGTTTTGTTTTGTTTATCTTTTATTAACTATTATAAACAGTTCTATAACGAACATTTAAAAAAGTTTATTTTCCAATTACAGTTGCATACAATATATTAGTCACATATGTACAACATAGTGATTAGATATTTATATACCTTATAAAGTGATCACCCCAATAAGTCTAGTAGTACCTATCTGACACCATACATATGTAATGAACATATATATTTATTGGTCTTTGTACAGATTCCCAATTATTTCCTTAAGATAAATAATTAGGAATAAAATTGCTGGGTTAAAGGGATACACATTTTTAAGGCTTTGAATAGTCAAATTATCCTCCAAAAAGATTGTACCAATTTTATTCAAACTAGCAGTGTTTGAGAGTACCTTTTTCTCATACCTTCATTAATACGAATGTTGTTATTTTTACCTGTTGACACACAATAAAAATATCTCGATGTACTAATTTACCTTTTCTTGCTAATGATGACAAAGTTTCTTTTTCATGAAAAAGAGGCACTTATATTCCTTCTTTGTGCATTACCTGTCCTTGCCATTTGTTCACTTTTCTACTGTTATGTTTGCTTTTTATTGCTTTGTAAGAGCTCTTTGTATATTAAGGAAAATATGATTTTGCCAAATATGGTGTAAATAAGTTCTTTCAATCTGTTATTTTTATACATATCTAACTTTCTTTACTAACTTAATTCCGGTGGGAAGACATATTGGGTCCCCATGGTACACAACACAGTCTCTCTTCTATTGTAGGTGCTCAACATATGCTGGGATGAATGTCTGAGTTAATTTTGTCCAACATACTTTATAAAACTCATTTTTCCCCACTCTGCAAGAGGAAGGTAGTCGGTTGAACACACATACTGCCCTTATTCAGAGCAATATCCAAGTCGTTTTGTTTCCTTCATTCGCTTCACAAATATTTACTGCGCACTAGCCTTGACCCTAGGGGTGCTGCAGTGAGCACACTCTTTCATTTCAGTTGAGGGAGACAGATAATAACAAGACAATAAAATATATATTATGTTAGGTTGTAATCAGTGTTATGAAGAAAACTGAAGAAGAGAGTGATCAGGTAGACCCACTGAGAAGGTGAAGAGGTGGGGAGTTAGCTGAGTGGGTATCGGAAGGAGAAGCATTCTAAGCAGACCGAACAACGCGTGCCGAGGTCCTAAGGCAGGAGCATGCTTCCAAGGCAAGAAAGTCAGTGTGGCTGGAGTGCAGTGAGCAAGTTAAAGAGGCTGGCAGAGGGGTGCAGATCGTATACAGCTTTGCAGACCATTGAAGGAACTCAGCATTTTCTCCGAATGAAATGGGAGGGTTTGGACAAAAGAGTGGCATGGTCTGCCTTACATTATAAAAAGACAGACTTAGCTGATGTACTAGAACTAGCCTGGGAGTGGGAGGCAAAGGTGGAATTAGGGAGACATGTTAGGAGGTGAGAGAGGATGGCAGCTTGGACCAGGTGAGAGCAGTGAAGATGGTGAGGAGGGGTCGGGTTCTGGGCATGCTTTGACAACAGTAAAGCCAACAAAATTTCCTGATGAATTAGATGTAAAATGTGCAACTGACATAAGATGAGGAAGATGCAGGCACAGCAGGTATGGGGGGAAAGATTAGGACTGTGATTTTGGAAATGTTGAATGTGAGGTATCTCAGACCAAATGGAGACACTGAGCATATACATTAACAATAGTGATACATAAGAGGTGAGACTTTAGGAATTTTTTTTTTCTCTTCCTCTCCTTTCCATTTAAAAAAATTTTTTCTTTGATCCTTTTGCATTTTTCAAAATTTTTAAATCAAGCAAGTTCTACTTTTATAATAGAAAAAAGTCACATTTAATTCTAAAATAATAATGTGATTTTTTTTATTATTAATAATGAGCTACGGGCACAGGAATAATTGAGTAACACAACCTGCCTGTGTCCAGAACTTGCAATTCAAGTCAATTCAACAAACATTCTCTGTGATCCCACCACAGGCCAGGCGCTCTGCCAGGTTCAGGGGTGCTGGAGGAGATCACAGTTCAACAGGATTTGGTGCTAGCTTCAGTCAGTGCTGCAATCAAAGTCCAAACCAAAAACAGGGGAGCAATAGAGGATGGTGGCAGTGAAGATACACAGAATTTCTATATCATAAAAGTGTCAAAAACACAGAGGTCAAATAGATAACTTCTGGGCCACAGTGAGTGTCATTTTATTGTCGGATGGAAGCACACAGTTGATGACAACCTATGTGCCAAGGTAAACCCAAGAACATGGAACAGGGGAAGCCCCACTCCCCACACAGATACACTCAGGCATATGTGAGCCAGGGTCCCACAGCCGTGTCTGGGGTAAGGGGTTAGGCCAGCTGACTCCCGTGGGAACCTTCCAAGTACATCTTGGCACAGCAATGGGCTCCAGTCTGCAGTGGTCCCAGGCCATAGGCAGTACTGCACCCTCTTGGCACATGGCCATGCTTGGCTGCAGCTGATGTTCTTCAGTCCCTCCTGACACGCAGCAGGGAGACTTGGATGGGAGGCATGTGGACGTGCAGTTCGTGGCGGAGCTGGAGGGCAAAAGGAGCAGGTGAGCACTTCCAGCCCATTTGGCCCATGAGCTCCCCACAGACCAAGGACAGGATGGGACAGTGGGAGAGAACAAATGAGGAGGCCAGCAACATTTCCTGAGCCTCCTGCAGGCTGGGCATGGGCTAGGTGCTTTGTGCACATTAGGTCATTTAAACCTCAAAGTGACTTTATAAAGCAGGTAGTATTAGCCTTCTTTTATAAGAGAGGAAGATCTATAGAGTCACTTACCCAATGTCGTAGAGTTAGGAACTGAAATTCACACCCAGATCTATGTGGCTCCAAAATGTGTTGTTTGTCTGACCCCTGAGCTGCTGGATCCAGCCATAGCTGAAGCCGGAATAGACACTTCTAGGTTTCTCAGCCAATATCTTCCCTTTTCTGTATGTGCTATGATGAGTTGGGTTTCTGCACTTGCCATTAAAAGTCCTACTTATCTGCCCATTAATATAATTGACCTCCCAGAGGCCAGAGGCTCTGACTGTCTAAGGGCCTGAGGAGATTGGAGGTGAGGGAAATCATTACTTTACATAGCAGAGAAGAGGAATTCAGAACTCAGGAAAAACAGGCAGAAATAAAGCCAGGCAGGGATCCTTAGATTTAGTTCCTAACACTTCATAAGAAACTGGACTCCTCCCAAGTGAACACTCTTCTGTATCCTGCAGATCTTTGCAAGAGTTCCCAAGAATCTCTCTCTCCTCTACTCCCCTGGCCCAGAAAGTGCCCACTCACCTTGTCCACCAACCTCTCTGCCACTCTGGGGTCAGTGAGGTCTTCTGGGGAGGCCACACTCAGCCTCAGGAGAAAGAAGCCTTCATCCCCACCTGCAAATTGAGAACAGTAGAAAGATAAAAACATGGGGAATCCAGTTCAGAAATCAAGATGTGAATGGTGCTACCAAGCCTCTGTCCTCCTTCTACATATATGTGCTCACTTTCACGTGTAAACGTGTCTGTGTGCTCACTCCCACATGTAAATATGTCTGTGTTCACACAGGATCTTACATTTACTCACTATGAAGAGAAAGATAATTCCCTCTCTCTGAACAACCTGAATGTCCATCCATAGAGGAATGGTTAAATAAATTATGATAAAACAAAATGGAATACTGAGCAGCCATTAAAAAAAAATAGCTTTACCTCAGAGATCTGTCTTTATCATACACTCTACATGCATAACAAGGAGGATGTAAGATACCTGTATCTTTATAGATTCATATAGATATAGATACCAATATCAATACTATATAGATATTTTTCATTCATCTATATACATATATATATTTAAATTTATTTAATCCTCACCCAAGGATATTTTTCCATTGATTTTTTTTTTTTAGATAGAGTGGGAGGGGGGAGGGAGGGGAGGAGAGAGGGAGAGAGACAGAAACATTGATGTGAGAGAGACATATCAATTGGTTGCCTCCCACACAACCCTGACCAGGGCCGGGGATCAAACCCACAACCGAGGTACGTGCCCTTGACCAAGAATCAAACCTGAGACTCTGATCTACAGGCCAATGCTCTAACCGCTGAGCCAAACTGGCCAGAACCTCCTTTTGATATTTCCATATGCATATTTCATGTCCAGAAGAAGATTCACAAGAAAGCAGCACCACCGGTTATGTGTGTGAAGAAAACTGGGTAGTTGGGGGACAACAGTGGGAAAGAGACATTTTATGGTGCACCCTTTGTACCTGTTCAATTTTAAACCATGTGACTATATCATCTAATCAACAAATAATTAAGAAAAATACTTTAAAATAAAAATATATCGATAAATTGATTTTTTAAAAATAAAACTACAATTTGAGTTTGGGCATCAGACAGACTTTCATCTGGAACCCCAATGCTCTCGTTAAATCTGTTTTCCTCACTTGTCATATGGGGTCATAATTCCCACCTCAAGTGATGGGTTTTTTAAATTATCATTTTTAATTTTATTTTTCAATTACAGTTTACATTCAATATTATTTTGTATTAGTTTCAGGTATACAGCACAGTGATTAAACAATCATATACTTTGCAAAGTGTTCCCCCGGCACCATACACAGTTATTACATTAATGACTATATTCCCTATGCTGTAGTTTATATCCCTACAACCATTCTTAACTACCAATCTGTACTTCTCAATCTTTTCACCCAGCCCCCATGATATGGTGGCTTTGACTATTTAATTAGAAGAGGTAACATGTGAAGTTCCTCCCACACTGCCTGGCATCAGAGAAAATATTCAGCTGGTACCAATGCTCACCGGTTGTAAACTATTTTTGTATCACCTCTGCCTGGAATAGAAAAGAAATTTAGCAAGGGGATGGTGACTAATGTTTTTCTTTCAGCTTCCCAGAAAGGCAGGGCAAGCTGAGGCTACTACACGGACGAGGCATGAGGACAGAGTGATGGGAAGGCAGATGGAGGCCACGGGCTGGCCAGGAGCTGAGCTGACCAAGCAGCCTTGGGCGAGGGCTTTTTCTCTGAGGAGTAGCTGTTATCTCAGAGATGTAGCTTAAAACTCCCACACCTTCGCCCGGTTTATTTATTTTGTCACTATTTGTGGTGCCAACTCCAGCAAGTGCATCCAGGGAGCCCACTTTCATTGGGTCTCAGCTGCTCAGAGGGTAGCCCCTTGGGCCAGACGCCCACTCGGTGCTCTTCCGGGTGGCTCTGGCTGGGCCCGAGGCTTCCAGAGCATGAGGGCCATGTCTTTTAAATAAATGTTGGGGCCTTGTCTGGTGCACAGCAGTTACTCAACAGTCAACTTCATAGCAGGGCAAAGTTGGAAAGGACCTCATTGTTCATTCATTGCCACCCCCTCCAGCTACCGATGGAGAAACTGAGGCCTGGAGAGGAAGAGAGACTTGTCCTAGGTCACTCAGGTTGTTAAAGGCAGACTCCCAGCCCCACACTCTTTCCACACACTGCCCTAACCTGCTTGTTACTGACTTTAGCAAGAACCACTAGAAGATTACAAAGAGGGGACGTCAGAGACAGGGCTCAGAACAGGCTCCCAGACCCTTCCTTCCTCCCTACTGCTTAAGCATGTAGCCATCCTGGAGACTTTCAACCCCAAATCCCTTAAGATCACTCATGGGTGGCCTCTTACCTGTAGTAACGTCTGTGGCCCACCTCGTCTGAGCAGTGGTACATGTGGGGCTTGGGGAAGTGCTGGCTGTGCTGGCTGCTTTTGCTGAGGCTGTGGTCTTAGCTACGGTGACGTCTGTTCCTTGGCTGCTGTTGGCTGTAGTCAGATGGGCAGAAGGCAGAGAGGTCCCGCTGACGGGAACAGGCCCGCTGGTCGTGCTGTCTGTGGTAGGTGTCTCCGAGCGGGTGGATTTCTTGATGGTGGCTACTTCCGAGAGGCTGTAGACCATAGCTGAGGTCCCAGCAGAGGAAGCTGCTTTGCCCAGTGTTGACCCAGCTTCTGTGGAGATTATAGCTGTTCCCAAGACCTCTGTGTGGACTGTTGCCTCAACAGAGGGAGATGAGGTTTCTTCCAAGGGATTCATGCTTACTGTCACCAAAGTTCCTCTGGGGGTGGTGGCCTTGGCTGCTGTTGTTTCTCCTGTGAAGCTACTGGCGGCATATGAGGTCTCAACTGTGGTATCAGGTGTGACTGATTCTGAGGTGCTGGCTGTCGACAAGATCTCAGAAGAGGTTGTGGTCCTAGTGAGGTGTGGTTTTGCTCCAGTGAAGTTGGGCAAAGCTGATGTCTCAGGGGTGGACAGGGTCTTTCTTCCTGTGAGGCTGTGATCCACGTCTGGGGTCCCAGGGATGATGGCAGTGGTTTCTATTTCTATAATACTGTAGTTGATAACCTCATTGTCGGTGACTGTGTAGGCAACCAAGGCTTTAGGTGGAACAGTGACGTCAGATGCCAGGGCTTGTGAGGTGATGCTGGCTGGAACTGAGCTGCTCCCCAAGGCCAGAGCCCTGGCTTCTGCAGACATGCGAGCCAACGTCAAGGTGTTGGTTGTGATCATCTTTGCCTCTTCAGAGCTGTCATCAGTACAAAGGGTGTCAAAGATGGCTTCTGAGATATCACTCCCTGTAACAGCCTTAACTGTGGTCATTCCAGTTCCCGAGGGGCTGTCACTTGTGGCTGACGTCTCCACAGAAGTGGTGATCGCAACTGTGACCTTGGAAAGGGTTATTTTTGTGAGGGCCCTGGTCTCTGTTGCAGGAAATAGGGTTTTGGTTATCCTGGTCTCTGCTTCTGAGATGGTGCTGGCTGGGATTAAGGTCCTATCAAAGGACTGGGTGCCCAGGGTTTGAGTTTCCAAAGGGATGTGACTTGGCACAGAGGTCTCAGCAAGGTCAGTAGTCTTGGAGGCTCCCTCTAAGCTTGTGTTGACCCCCAGAGTCACAGTTGGCACCTCTGTGTGGTTCATTGTCACCAAAGGGCTTGGTCCATGGGTGCTGGGGCCTGTGTTGGGTAAGACAACTTTGTGAGCCAGAGTCCCAGTGGACTGACTTTGCAGAAGCTCTTACGTTTATGCCCTGAGCACTGCTGGGAGGAGGGTGTGAGGGGAAGTCGCTCTGACCCCATTTGTCATCTATATTTACAAGGAAGAAGGAGAGAGTATCGGGAAGACCAGTCCCATGTGGCAGCCACAGAACTGGGATCACCCTAACTGATCCTCTGATGGTCCCCTTGAGGCAAGCAAGCCCCAGACTGGAGCTGATTATCGGTCTGAAAGCTTTAGAAGGACTATGTGGGGCCAGGACCCAGCCTCAGGGAGGAGCAAAGAAGGCAGAAGTCCTCATGAGCCGAGAACTGCAGAGCTGGGACCACAACTCTCAGAATTTTCTGAAAGAACCCTTGTCACTTTCCCATCAATACTTTTCTCATTCAGTAAATGGTTCCCCGTGGAAGTAAAAACACTTCAGCTGTAAGAAGCATCTGTGGCTTTGTGTTCAGAGGTAGCTGGGGAGATTAGGAGAGAGGAACCTCCAGAGACAGCGTGGGTGGGGGCTGCCACAAAGGGGGGAGCAGGGAGAGTCCTTGGCGCTCCAGCAAGGGGAAAGGGGCCAGCTTCCTTCCCATCCCTACTCAACCTCTCCTTGCATGGACCTGAGATGATGGGGATGGAATCCCAGAAAAGCAGAAATGATGTGCCAGGCATTTTTCACGGGTAACAGGGAGCCAGATGACGTAACAGGGAGTCAGTTTTCAGAGAGATGCTCCGAGTATTTCTCCACAGAGCACAATGTCTCTGCTCACTTAACCAGCCCTCTGAGGTTGTGTGAGTGGAGGGCCGGCAGGTGCTCACTGCCCCGGAGAGGCTCCAACAGGCTCTTTTACAGGCTGACAAAGATGCCTCTCCTGTCTGCCAGAGTGGAGGGGCTCTCTCTGTAAGTGGAACAAGGAGCCTCCTGGGGAGGGCTGCCTGAGTTAGAAAAGAATATTCTATTAAGTCTGAATTTAAATTTCAGATAAACAAGGAATGACTTCAATGACAAATATCTTTTTAGTATGTGTATTTATTTCTCACACAATATTTGAGACATATTTATACTAAAAATTGTATTACCTAAAATTCAAATTTAAGGGGACACCCTGTGTTTAATTAGTAACACTACTCTTGGAAGGAAAGGATCAAAATATAAGCCCCCCTTTTCAGGGTTCTGATGGTTTGGGATGGTCTTTACTGAAATCTACTGGCCCAAAAGAACCCAAGGACCCAAAGGAGGTGCTGAACTGTGTGGTCACTTCTACCCAGGGTGTCACAATGAGGCCCCAGGTCCCCAGCTAGTCCTGTTTTGTCTCCCACTGAATGGTGAAAGAGCACTGGGCCAGGAGGCAAGGGACTGGGTTCCAGCCCTGGGCTGTTGCTTACTAGCTCCGGAGTTCAATGACTTACTGGTTCAAATCCTGACAGTCTCTTACCAGCGAAGCCAGTCACTAGACCTCTTCATGTCCCCATCTCCTCCCTGTGAAAGAAGGTCCGATCCTGCCTTGCCGTGGTGGTGAGGACCAAGAGGAGCAGGGAAATAGGGAAGTTCTTATATTTCAAAGCCTGCAAAGGGTTATTAAACATCCACCCCCCACTGTGTCCTTTCAAAGAGTCACTTGAGAGCACACAACCTATTTTAATACAGTGAGAATTTCCGGCTGGACCCACGTGCCTATCAGGTGGGTCACGGCATGCGCTCTCATGACTCATCCAGTGTAGTCTAACTAACACAAATCATACTTTTACAGGAATATACTTTCAAAGCCCAAGATATTTCTCTGAGCCTCCTCGGTCCGCTCACGGTGGAAGCAGAGACTTTCTGGATCAGCCCACACAACCTGAAGCCCACAGAGTAGCCTGAGTTCTTGAGGTCTGACCACTAACCTCCCCTGACACACATTCGTCTTTTTCCAGGAGCCTGTGGTGTCATCCTGTTTTCCAAACCTAGAGCCTCTTCATCTCCAGGGCTCTTACCACCCCCTACCCACGTCTCTTACCCACCAGGGGTCTTCTCAAAAAGAAGACTTCAAAATGGGCCCTTCTCAAAGCCCACCCTGGCCACTGCAGCTCTAGAGTGCTGCCACCTCCGGCTCCATCCCGCAAATCAAACTGGTGCCTGTGGGCTTTGGACCCCCAGTTTGAGTTCTGCCTTTGCCGCTTGCCCTGCTGCTTACCAAGAGCGGGACCCTGGCCAAGTCTCCTGTGTGACGGAGCCAGGGCACCTATTTCACAGAGCTGTGAAGATTCGATTGAGTTAAGTGTGAAATGTGCAGCGCAAGCCCTGCAGATCGCCGTGCATGCAAGAGGTGGTCGGTGTGCCCTGAGGTGGGGCATGGGAGGCAGCAAATCCTGGCTCTGCAGATGAGGTACTCAATCCCAGCAAACTTCGGTCTCCTGGCCTTTAAGGGGAGGGTAAGAACCATATCTCTCTCATAGGGTTATTATGAGGACAACCAAGTTAGTGCATGGGGTAGATGGGATATCTCTGCACCTTCCTTTCAATTTTGCTGTAAACCTAAAATTGTTCTTGAAAAATAGTCTCTAAAAAAGAAAAACCTGGGCAAGTGACAACCTCATCAAGGTGAAAAATTAGCCTGGTGACTAAGAACTCCACCCCCAGAGAAGACGGTCTGTTTGTGCCCTGGTGTTTGAGGAGCCAGTGTGGGCCCCAGCATACCCTCCTCGCTCCCCAAGTCTCATGTGATGGTCCCCTCTGCATCTGTCCCCCCAGCCCTTCTCAGATGAGAGAGACTGACCCATTTTCTGGGGAATGTCTTTCCTCCTACCTATGTTGGCTGGGTTGTTGGGACAGTGTCTCATTTCTCAATGATTACCTACAGTGTCAGCTCCTCCCTCGAGGTTGGGAGGTGATAACCATCCTAGGGATTTTCAATAAATTGTTATTACTTAAGCTGGAAAAGATAATGTGTGATACTGATGTGTCAATGGAGGTTTATTGATTGTAAGGCAGGTACCAATGTGGTGCAGGATATTGATAGTGGCAGAGGCTGTGTGTGTGTGTGTGTGTGTGTGTGTGTGTGTAGGGGGGAGTGGATCTCTGTACTTTCTGCTCAGTTTTGCTGAGAACCTAAAACTGCTCTAAAAAATAAAGTCCATCTTAAAAAGAAGATAATGCATGTGACAAGCTTGGCACAGTTCCTATTACAGATCAATGTTAGTTCTCTTCTTTTCATAAAAGTCCTGTCTCTCTCAGAATCCACCCTCCCCAAGTAGTCTGTGACAGTCAGATGATTCACACAAATACTGTATTTTAAAGGATAAACTTACAGTTAGAATCCTATCAAGCCACATTCTTTGGCTTTAGTCACATTTATCACCAGCCTGCACCTCCCTGCCCCCCACTTGCTCACACTCCCACCAGCAGAAAGACAAACCCACGGAGACCTCAAAATAATATCTATTGCTCATTTGTATGGACCGCAGCATCATACATACATGCTTAAGGGGACAGACACCCTGCCATTTGCATCTCCTTATAAATAATAGTGAAACACAGGGTCCTTCTGATTAAATTTAGCTTTAAATCCTGGATAGAAATCCTCTCCCTCTCTCTCTCTCTCTCTCTCTCTCTCTCTCTCTCTCTCTCTCTCTCTCTCTTCTCAAATGAATGCATCTTTCTCTCCCAGACTTTCTCCCATAATCAGCAACCCCTGAGGAAGCAGAAGACAGTAACCAGGACCGGATTACTTATCACACGGCCTGGACCTCTAGCAGGCTAAAGATAACATCTTGACTAAAGTTATGTTTCAGCTCCTAAGCCCTAACCACCCTCTAGCTACTGCCCCAGGAGACCAGCCAGAGGGACACCAGAACAGACCTGGAGAGAGAACTTATTACCCTTACCTCACCTCTGACCATCAGCTCCCAGCATGACCCTGAACCCCTAACCACGATGTCTTGTGATTTTGTCCTATTTAATCTGTAACGTACTTGACATTGAGGAGCTCAGACTTCCGAGTATTAGCTTTCTGTTCCCCTGGATGGTGCCATTCATAATAAAAGAGCCAGTTTTTCTGCACTGCAGTTCTGGGTGTTTAGTGTTTGGCTCTGCTGGTGCTGGGTGGACAACTCTTTCTGTTCGATAACAAAAGTAATACTTCATATATAGCTTTATGGTTAATTATAATGAGCCCAAGAGAGCTACCCTCACCCGCAAAGGCTGCTGAGACAGAAACGTACACCCAGAGCCCTGCCAGGAGGGAAGCCCACAGGACCTCTTGCCCTCTTACCTGCAGAGCTCTCAGGGGCCCCAGCTTCCCAGCAGCAGAAGAAAAGTAGAGCAAGGGTCCAGAGAGAGCCCATCTGAGCTAGGACTTCAGCCACGCTGACCAGCAGACTTTCCCACTGCCTCTCATAACCACCTATTCCTGCTTCCTCTACCCAGGGAGGTGGGGCTGGCCACGTGCCTAGGTGTGACCAGGTAGTTTCCAGATTGCGGTCAGCTGGTCATAGATGCAGAGGCTGAGAGCTACCTGGCAGGTAGCATGTCAGGGGCTGTCAGCAAGCTAACCCTCCTGCCCCCTTGCCCAGTGTCTTCTTCTCTCTGAAGTTTGATCTGAAGATGTGGAATAATTTTCACAGTGATACTCACCCCTTGGTCCTGCAGCCCAGGAGGCCATAGAAGATGGTGCTTCATACACATTTTCCCCCTTCCCACCACCCTTTCCCCCGCCCACCCAATCCTCATGTCTTGGGCTTGGGCTTTTATTTAGACAGACGTGGGTCTCATTCCTCATCTTAGACTTTATTAGTATAATCTAGGGCAAATTAGAGAAACTTTCTGAACCTCAACTTCCTGGCTGTTAAATGGACATCATTTCTGCCTCACTGAACTGCTTTGTAAGGATTACATGAGAGAGTAAACTCATACACAGTGCCTGCTACACACGTGGTGCTCACCAGAAACATGCATCTCACGAGCTCAGTGAATGGTGAGAGCCCCGACGTTGGCTCCGATCCTCAAGCAGTCGAGAGAAGGGACGGTGCCTGAGAAAAGGAGACGTTCTCCAGTGTGGGGTAGGCAGGGCTCTGATTCTACCACGCTTCCATTGTCGTACCCTGTGACTCTGCATCCCAGTCGGGGCCAGGACCATGTCCCTCTGCCAGCCTGCAGGTGCGGGTGGAGAAGGCACCAGCTGGGAGAAGGGAAAGGGCCTGGGAGGAGGGAAGTGTGAGGGTGATGACTTAGGGAAGCGTAAGGGATTTGGCCACAAAGAAGGGAATGAAGCGGCTGAATATACATCCAAATGCCTTAGAGAAGAATCTTATCCCCATAAGGGACCATGGGCTATTAAAGCCATAGCCAGTAGTCAGACAAGGTACCTTGGGGATTTTAGGACAAGTTCTAGAGTAGAGGAAAGCTGGCTGAATCATCATCAAGAAATCACAAAGTCTCAGGGCTAGAAGGATCTTTAAAGTGGGATCAGAAGGTCTAGGGTTTATTTTCTGCGTCTTCCTTAATGATGGCAGGTGATCTTGGACAAGTTGTTTGCCCTCTGGGCTTTGGTCAACAAGAACTCTGAAATCCTCTTGGCCGTGCAGTCTTGCAGTCTGAGGTTCAGCATTGGGTCTGTGACTGTCTTCTAGAACTTAGCCCTGCATTGGATAAAGGGATCTATTTCTGGAAGGTGGAGAGAGTCATATCAGGGCGTGTGGTGAGGGGAGACTCTATGAGAAGAGGCTAAGAGGGTCCATCTGGGATACAACCCGGCACTTGGGGTCAAGGATCTTGAACTCCTGTTCCAGCTACACCGTTAATCTGGAGAGTACTCTTGACAAACTAAGCGCTCCCAGTCAACCTCAGTCCTTCACTTTATAAACTGGGAGGCTGTATTCCGGGGGGGGGGGGGGGGGGCACAGCAATGACCTGGATTCTGCTTGACCCTACCCAGTAGCGTATAACCTAGTGTGAGACTTCCTCCTAGAGAAGATGAGGAAAAACCCAGCAAGAATGCAGCAAGAATGCCACTCCTTTCTGCCACCTCTTCCCTTCTGGGCTGCCTGTCCCACCCCAGCCAGGAGAGGACTTCCTCATCCTAGCAGCCAGTGGCGTAATCTACAAACAGAGGTACTCTAGGTGCCTTTTCACCCCACCGTGCACTCCCCCTCTCCATTTTCTTTCTTTTTTTTTTTTTTCATCATATAAATGATCCACAACCCGGCTCCAGCCATGCAGATGAGGAGGTGAGGAACCCTCTACAGGGGAAGCATGGGGCTTCCCTGGGTTTGCTGGATTTGTCTGGTCCATCTTCTTCTGTTTCTGGGGGAGTTTCCAAGCGTGCGCACATGACTGTGAGGGAAAAGGGCAAACCATGGGCCTAATAAAGAAATGAATTATATAGGGACCAACTATGGAAGAAAGAAAAAAAACACTTGGGTGCAGTGGTTGGAGACCTGCAAGGTAACTGAGCAAAGACAGATTAACAGGAGAAAAGACAGTTTATTTACACGTACACCAGGAAGTTGTTCAGCAGTGAGTAACTCACTAAACAACCAGAAATAGAGGTGTATTTGCCAAACGCAACAAGGGGTGAAAGTGGGGAGCAGCCCTGGCCCCTCCACGGGGAAGTTCTGAAGGCTCTGTGGGTGGTCTGTCTCCCTGAGCAGTGAGCTGGCTGGAGAAACCCCTGAGGGGGATAATGGCAGCTGCGTTTTGGGAGGTGCTGCTTCAATCAGATGAAGAGAATTGAGATAACATCGCTTTCTGTTTCTTCTTTAATGTTTCCACTTTAAAATAATCCTTATACCAACTCTGGGGGTCTGAGTAGGTCCCCACGGGCTCCAAATGTTGAGTGTGCACAGACTGTGTAGATGAGACCCTGTCAGGCAGGAGATGCGGTGAGAGTGGTCTAAGCGTGAAAGGCTCTGAGGGTGGCCCCTCCAACCCCTGACTCCTTGGCTGGCAGCAAAGGAAACTCCAGAGAGCCTTCTGTTCATCAGTCCATTCATTTCTTTTATTTGGGTGTAACTTACGTAAACTATACCAACCTTAAGTGGTGTAGTGGTGTATAGCTTGACGAATTTTTACTTATATACACACCCAGGATATATCCACCACTCAAATCATGATAATAAACCTTTTTTAAAAAAAGACATTTTCATCTTGGTACTGAGTCTGCCTCCTTCCCTGTTCCACTGCCCCTTTCCTTCACCCCTGCTTGTTGAACTGTGTTCCTAAATAAATTATTCAGGTTCTGCTTTCAGAGAAACTACGCTACAACAGATTAGCAAGGTATATAGCAAGGCTTGGATGGGGGTAGTGGTTCATTCCACTCAGCTGGAACATAGAAGTGAGGAAGGGGACCTCTAGCAGGAAACAAAGACAAAATGTGCCTTGGGGCCATGTTGTGGCCATTTCCTGCCACGAGTGGGAGGTTAGTCTTTTTTCTAGAGATGATGGGAAGCCAGTGGTGGTTTTATTTATTTATTTATTTATTTATTTTCTTTATTAATTTTTAGGGAGAGGGAGAAAGAAATAGAAACATCGATGAGAGAGAACATCGATTGTCTGCCTCCTGCGTGCCTCCCCTTGGGATCAGGCCCACAGCCTGGGCATGTGCCCTGACCAGGGATCGAACCAGTGACCTCTTGGTGTGTGGGTCGATGCTCAGCCACTGAGCCACACCGGCCGGGCGCCAGGGGTGGTTTTAGAAGGGGGAACTGGCAACATCAGAGCTCTGCTTTGGGCGGTACAATGTGGGCAGCGACCAGCGAGGGGAGAGTCCGGGGCAAGAGGACCCGTGAGGAGGCTGTGGCCTGGGACTCGGGCGGTGGGGCTGGAAGGGGAGCGGACGTGAACCATGTTGTGAAGCACAAGTAGAAAGGCTTGGCACCTTGCAGAGGAAGGTGTAGGAAGTCAGCCAGGTGCAGAGAGAAGTAAAAGGTGACCCCGAGGGCTGGAGTCCAGAAGGCTGGAGAAGGAGCAGGTCTGGGAGGGATGGTGATGAGCTCAGCAGACCCCAAACCCCTGGTAGCACCTCCTAGAGCTCTGCAGTCGTACATGAGGAGACCCCCCACACACACACACCGCCCAGAAGCCAGGTCCAGCCCACCAGAGACAGCCCCCTGCCTCTCCTTCCACCCTGGGAAGGGAAGTGGGGGCATGAGGTTACAGGACACAGGCCAGGCTCTTGCAGGACTTACAGGCAGCAATGTGGCGCCTGGGGAGGAATATCGAAGAGAGGGGCACAAATTACTTAGCCCAAGGGTGCTAGGTTCTTACTTTCTACTTTAAAGAAATGTTTGCTAGATTCACTGTCACTATCACAAAACAATGAATACCATGAGCCAAACTGACATTTTATCATTTGTACGGCTGATTCTATGCACATTTACACGCGTTTGCCACAACGCGATCTCCTTTCCCTCTCGTAGAACCAAGGTGGGAGCGCACAGGGTGGCAGCGGGGAGACAGGCACCACTGCGCCCCGCAGTCCAGGCGGGCAGGGTGAGCTCTGCTCCGTGGCCCCGGGCCGGAGCTTCAGGGAGGTGTCAGGCCCTCCGTCTGATTCCCCTCACAGAGATGGAGAGCGGCATCCCTGGGAGGCTGGTTTGGAGAAACTGCTGGACCTAAGTGAGCAGGAAGCAGTGAGCAGTCAGCGAAGGCCTGTTCCCTCTCCAGCTTAGTCACATGTCCCCTATTAACGCCATCTCTTGTTACACATCCACCAAGAACCAGGCCCTTCCACACAGCCCTACAAGACAAGCTCTAGCCCACAGATGAGGAAAGGGAACTCAGAAAGGCTGAAGGAGCTGTAGGAAGTTACCCAGGCAGCAAGTGATGGAGCCAGGATTTGAACCCATGTCTACCTGGCCCTGAGTCCATGCTCTTTCCATTGTATTATGCTGCCTTTCTTTCATCCCAGAGTCACATATGCTAAGGTGGGGGCCAAAGCCTCTCCTCCAGTGCTGAGCAGAGAGCCCTGGCTGGGTCAGGGCTAAAGCGAGGACCCCGAAGAAAAGTAAAGAGCAGAGGCTGATTTAGGGCAGCAAGCGGCCAACTATAGTCTATGAGCCAAATCTGTCTCACTACCTGTTTTTTGTACAATTAATAAGTTAATATTATTATTTTTTTTTATCCTCACCCGAGGACATTTTTCCATTTTTTGTTCAGGTAGAGTGGGAGGGAGAGAGAGGAACAGAGAGAGAGAGAAACATCGACGTGAAAGGAACACATCGAGTGGCTGCCACCCGCTCAACCGACCAGGGCCGGGGACAAACTGCAACCGAGGCATATGCCCTTAGCGGGAACCGAACCCGGGTCTCTCCAGACCGCAGGCCGACGCTCTAACCGTTGAGCCAAACCGGCCAGGGCAATATTATTATTTTT